TTTTTTTTTTTTTTTTTCATATTTTTCAGGAAACGAAGAATTTTCGAACGAAATTGAAGCTTATTCAGAATAGATTCAGATTTTTGTTCCAAGAAAAAAATAATATTACTGAAAGTCATCAGAAATCTTTATGTAATTTTTATTATATTTTCAATGAATTGAGAAAAAAGGGTAAAAGTATTCAGATTGAATTTATCTTTAATTTAATATTTATGAAAACTTATTCAAAAAATAGAGAAAATCATGCCATTTAAGTTATTTTTTGTTTTATCCCGATATCTTAACCGGTTGCCGAGATATAAGGATTTGAAAGTGTTCATCATTCACTTAATAAGACACTGCAAAGATTGTGAATGTAGTGACCTACATTTTTTCCTGGAAATGCGTACTCTGTCCAAGAATTAGATCTGATAGGTCAATGAGACGAAGCACGAGTGAAAAGAAAGGCGCGAATAAGTGGCAAGGAGATGACGAGCGATTTTAAATTTTTTTACACGACGATATCTCGGGAACCAGAAGTCGTATCGAAATGAACAAAAAAGTGTTTTAAAGGGCAAAACTCCACCTTTTTAATGGTCTTTCGTTCGTTGACCAAAATTCATTGTCTTCGGAGTTATAGCGGTTAAAACTTTTCCTAATTTTTAACAGGGTTTAATCGGATCGGGATAAATGATTAAAAATTATCTTTTCTTTACACGACGATATCTCGAGAACCGGAAGTCGTATCGGGATAAATGAAAACGCGTTTCAAAGGGCAAGGTACCGTTCTTCCAACGATCTTTCGTTCATTGATTAAGAACAATTATTCTCGAAGTTATAGCGATTTAAATTTTTCCTAATTTTAATAGAGTTTTAATCGAGAATAAACGCGAGAAATACGCGCTTATTTTCTAGAAAGAATATATATTTGCTTACGACGATCTTTTCTAATGATTTTAAATCATCCTTTGATTCAAGCAATGATAAAAAGAATTTTTATCCAATTTCACGGTTATTAAATGATCCTTCACTCCAACGAACGTTGTAAAAGAAAAAGGAAAAGGGAGGGGAAAAATCTGGATGGACAAATTGTCAGATCCAGTTTATCACGGATGGCACATTCCCCCCTTGTGAAAGCGTTTCCCCGCCGAATATTTTACGAAGCCCCGTCACGCTCCAATTCAGTGTCAGACAGAGGACACCTAATCAACCCTCCCTCTCCTCCCCTGCCTTTCCTCCCCCCCCCTCCCCCCTTTTCAAAGGCACACGTCCCACCAATATCATTTGTCTCATGACGCTCGTTCTACTCACATGGTATAGCCATCGTCGAGTCGCTCGGATCAGGGCTGTACTCCTCGTTTGGAAAATAGTCGATCCTCGAGCACTCGTATTCCATA